TCTGAAGGAACTCAAATGTGAAATTGCAGAACTACTAACTGTGGTATGTAACTTATCACTTAAATCAGCCTCTGGACCAGGTGACTGGAGGATAGCTAATGTAATGCCCATTTTTTAAAAAAGGCTCCAGAGACAACCCTGGCAATTACAGGCCGGTAAGCCTGACTTTAGTATCAGGCAAATTTGTGGGAACTACAGGAAAGAACAGTATTGTCAGACACATAGATTAACACAATATATTGGGGAAGAGTCGACATGACTTTTGTATAGGGAAATCATGCCTCACAGGCCAGTTGATATACTGCTCTTTGTATTTCAGAAAGCCTTTGACAAGGTCCCACCTCAAAGGCTTTTAAGCAGAGAAAGCCATCAAGGGACGAGAGGGAAGGTCCTCTCATGGATAAGTAACTGGTTAAAAGGTAGGAAACGAAGGGTAGAAATAAATGGTTAATTTTCACAATGGAAAGTGGTAAATAGCAGGGTCTCCCAAGGAACTGTACTGGAAACTGTGCTGTTCAACATAGTCATAAATGATCTGGGAAAGGGGATAAACAGTGAAGTGGCAACATTTGCAGTCGATACTAAATTACTCAGGATAGTTAAGTCCAAAGCTGACTGCGGAAAGGGATCTCACAGAACTGACAGGTTTCAGAGGAACAGCCGTGTTAGTCTGTATTCGCAAAAAGAAAAGGAGTACTTGTGGCACCTTAGAGACTAGAATGCCAGATGAAATTCAACACTGATAAGTGCAAAGTAAGGCACATTGGAAAAAATCATCCCAACTATACATACAAAATGATGGGTTCTAAATTAGCTGTTACTACTCAAGAAAGATCTTGGAGTCATTGTGGATAATTCTCAGAAAACCTCTGCTCAGTGTGCAGTGGCAGTCAAAAAAGCGAACAGAATGTTAGAAACCATTAGGAAAGGGATAAATCAGAAGATATCATAATGCCACTATATAAATCTTTGGTACAGCTACACCTTGAATACTGCATGGACTTCTGATCACCCCATCTCAAAAGATATATTAAAATTGGAAAAGGTACAGAGAAGGGCAACAGAAATGATTAGGCATATGGAACAGTTTCCATATTAGTAGAGATTAAAGAACTGGGACTGTTCAGTTTAGAAAAGAGACGACTAAGGGGGAATATGATAGAGGTCTATACAGTCTCAAATAGGGTAGAGAAAGTGCATCAGGAAGTGTTATTTACCTGTTCCCATAACACAAGAACCAGGAATCTCTCAATGAAATTTTGAGGCAGCATGTTTAAAACAAACATAAGGAAATACTTCTTCACATAACACACAGTCAACCTGTGGAACTCATGGATGTTGTGAAGGCCAAAAGTATAACTAGGTTAAAAAAAATTAGATAAGCTCATGGAGGATAGATCCATCAGTGGCTATTAGCCCAGGTGGTCAGGGATGCATCCCCATGCTCTAGATGTTCCTAAAGCTCTGACTGCCAGAAGCTGGGTGACAGGGGATGGATCACTAAATACATTTCCCTGTTCTCATCATTCCCTCTGAAGCATTTGACACTGGCCACTGTTTGAAGACAGGATACTGGGCTAGACGGACCATTTGTCTGGCTCACTATGGCCATTCTTATGTGCTACTGCAATACAAACAGCAGCAAATGATTCCATCTCTTGAGGTACAAGTCTTATCAGTGGCAAGTAATGTTAGGATTTAAGTCTTCCATAAATTGCAGCCACTAGAGGGGCATCCCAATCTCTCTCTCACACAGAACCCAGCTGCAAATTTAGGAATCTGTTTTTGCTAAAGGCAAAATAGCCAATCAGCCATCCTGACAGGTCAGAGAGCCACAGGGAAAAACAAGAGTCACTTGCAAAAGAGAAAACCAATTGAACTGGGCCTTCAGAGGGTTAGAAGCAGAGAAAGACATTTTTTCTTCCAGAGAATGAAAAAAAAAACCCACACATTTTACTGGCTTTGTTAACATTTTAAACGATGAAGCTGCAAGAGGAAGCCGAGCTACCATGGATTTGCCGAGACACACATGGTGTGGAGAAGGAGGGGAAGTATTTCTCCTTTTCTAATACATGATGGGTATCCTACCCTCATCAGATATTACTGTTATGTGAGAGACAAAAATGGGGAGAGCGAATTAATGAGTCGTTCACATGATCCAGAGTTCAGACCCATTTACAAATTACTCGCTCAGTTGGTGGTTTGAAAATTAATGACTTCTTATTTAATATTTTTTCTTCTTCCCCCATTTAACCTTTTAGGAGTGAAAGAAAATCTCCTTGACTTGTTATGAGCAGATGTGGCTCTGAAGAAATCCATCCTCACTAATGATAAACCAGTAGGCACAACACATCCAGATTTCCTTGTCCAATTAGAATGAATTTATGTGCAAGCTTAATGTGCCTAATTACCCCTGTCATCGGATGAGTATAAGGCAATCTGAATAGCAATGCCAGTAAATATTTGTATTGATGTTATCAGAATGGATCTACCAGGAAAAAGTAGAATGCATCAAGAACAAGCTTCAGTTTCAGTGAACATATTTACTACTGCACACACACAGAGTGGCCTCCTCTAACTGTTTCATAGGTGAGCGATTTTCAGCATTTATATCATAGCCCCTCTGTGTTACAACGTATACCTTGGCATAAAAATTGTTCCAAGCAAAAACCTGGCACAGGAACTCATTGGCAAAAAGGCTGCATTCCCCTTCCCCCTTCCTCTCCCCCTCCCCTGTGGATTTTAACAGCTGCTGTTCTCTTAAATTGTGGGGAGGCCCCCAAAAAGAAAGTTACTTTGGCTTTTGGGGATGTTCTGTGTTCCTCGTATATTGTAGCTCAAACAGCGCCCTTAAATAAAGTACAGCAGGCCATTAGCTCACAATATGGACCAAAGCTTTTAATTCCCCATTCAGTATTGACTGTGACACACAGTAATAGCAACTTTCTCTATAATGACTCCAAGAACAGATTTAATATGAAGGATCCCTAGACACTCTTTCCTACTTCATCTGTATGTAACAGTCTGCCGGAATAGCTTGTCTGAGCACTGAAGTAGAGGAGTGTGGATTCTTATAATCTAAGCTAAGAGTCCCCAGTAGAATAAATCACACTGTGCGTTTTATGAGAAGGAGCTGAAAGTTCTTCATAACCTTCGTTATGCAAATTGTCTACATAGGCATTAGCAGGATGGTTAAAATCCATGGGTTTTTAAAAGTCAAGGTATACACCATCCCCTCACTAACTGCAGTGAGCTCTGCTCCGGCCTTAAAAATAACCCCCTATCCCTACATAGGAGTTTATAGAAACAGTCTGCAAACTGTTTGTTACAGAGCATTCCAGCCCCCTCCTTCCCCTCTTTTTTTTTTTTTTAATCCCATTCAGAGGCAAAAAATGTCCTCATTCTGCCCTAAGCCAACAGCAGCCAAGGAGCTGACAGCTAAGACTGAAACTCTGTTGCTAACTGATAGCACTGGACCCGATTCTGCCCTCCCTTACACCTACACGACCCCCTGGAGGTCAGTGGTGTAACTGCAGGCAAGAAGGTTACACAGGGGTAATGAAGGATAGAATTTGTCAGCTGATCTGTGATTGGAGCCCTTAGGCGCTACCCTCATACAAATAATATTTGTCCCACTGCCTCTACAGCTAGTAGGGTCTTTTTTCACAAGGACTTAGAACCTGGGTGATATTTCCATGTAACCAGATGCAATTCCTATGTGAATATCACCTGTGTTCTTCATACCACTGGAAAAACTCCTGCCCTCAATTTAACCCATACAATGCCTCTAGCTCGATTTACCTGCTGGTTTCAATAGGATTTCACAGGCATAATGGAGGGCAGGATTTGGTGCACTACATCTAAACTCCCTTGGATTTCAAGCTTTTGTCTTCATGTGTGTGGACAGTGCTCAGTCCATTCTAAGTGCTACCAGAATACAAATCCCAACTATTAATCCTCACCAGATGCAATTCTGAGGCTCAGAGGAACAAAATAAGCATGATGTCTCCATCTTTCACCCTGATTCTTAGTGTTAAGTACATGAATGCCCACTGCAAACAGCAACTTTCCACTCCTCTAGCTCCTTTCACCCTGAAGTGCTTTCCTGACTGTTCTGTATGAGGGATCACTTCTCCAGCCATTGAAAGGCAGCCACCTCTGCTGTGGAACATGGCATCTGTTTATATATTTAAAAATCAAAAATATTCCTATGTCTAACATATAAACATAAGACTGCAAATCTCTGCTTTAAATAGAAAACAACTCAGCCTTAGCTATGGGGCAGCAACCAATGCCTTCACAACATTAACACTAAAGGCAGAAAGGTAGAAAGGGATGAGGGCATTTTCTACAATTGAGGACACTTTTGCAGCCCAGGGCAATGGTTGGGAACCAAGAAGCAGTTAGAGATCCCTTGCATTGCAACCCTAAGTGCGTCCTGCATGTCCCTCAGGACATGCATGTCTGAGGGCAGGTTGTTGCAGAGAAAGTGCTTATTGTTTTTGGTAGGGGGTGTTAGTTTTTCTGCCTCCTCTTGCAAACCACATGAGTCTGGCTCAGCAAATGCTCAAATTAAAAGACAACAAACCAAACAAACTAAATACACCCCCAGCAGGGGTTTGCAGCAGTCCTTACAAAGAAGAGGGGCTCACTCCAAGGAGGTCACCCTTGCTGCTGGAGAGCTCGAGGCAGTGTTTCTCCATGACCGGTCCGTGAACCGGCACCGGTCCCTCAGATCTCCCTGCCACAGTTTAGCAAGGCAGCAAGCCGGTCCCTGGTATCAAAGAGGTTGAGCTAGAGAACCAGGCATGGCTCTAGGGCTAGCAGGGGTCTCTCTGAGTCCTGATGTGACTTCCCGGGTTCACTGCTCACCCATCTCCCGAGTGTCCAAAGCAGAAGGGAAACGGGGTGGGAGGGGAGCGGCACACAGAACCGTAGGGACTGCAAGGGACATCTAGTCTGACGCCCTGCCAAGAGGCAGGATGCATTAAAGAGGCTACCTGTGAGAGCTGCCATCATCGAAGACGAAGGTCTGGTTAGTGTAGCACTCGGCACACACAGACACCCCCCCGGCTGCCAGGGCTTGCCCATCTTGCTGCTGAGCCGTTGACTTGTAGACCCCCTGAAGGCTCCTCTCTTCCCCTGAGAAAGGCATCTGCAGAGCGGCGAGGGTGCCCGGTCAGGCGACACGGAGCCAAGCATGGGAGTGCTGTGTGGCTGGAGGCTGCCCAGGGCTACTGTTTACAAGGAGAGTCCGGCTCCAGGCGAGCCATTGCCACTGGTCACTCACACACCTTACCCCCTCGCCTGGTAGATTTCATGGTGCAGGCAGTGCCTGGGGCTGCAGCTCTTACGGTCCTGGTGTCTTCCCAGCCTGGGTTTCTCCTCGCGAAGCAACAAGTTGCATAAAGTTGAGCCTCATTTAAATTAAAAAATGGACAAAAAAACAACGCAGGGATCAGGTTGATTTCACTGCCTTAAATGCAATAGATGATCCAAATATTTGCTCCCAAGCTTGTCTCCCCTTTCCCCTGGGGTGTTTGGGAGAGCTGTAGGCTCAGCAACGAGAGAAAGTCCATTGCAAGCAGTTGCTCTCACCAGACAAAGCTGGAAAGGAGGCAGGAGATACCAGTTTGCTCCTTTTTCCCTGAAATATTTGTGTGTGTTTTTTTAACAAAATTGATTTTTCTCCCCTCCTGTTTTCACAGCTTTTTCAGATGCATTTCTCTCCTGCACGATGGCACCATCTGCGGGCCACTGTGAGAATCACATAGGCAACAAAGCCAGCATCCCTTTGCCATCTCTGCCATGCAAAGTGCCGTGGCCTATCCCAGCTCAGGATAGACCCTTTTAAATATATTAACATAGGTTTCTGATCAATCATCCCCCCGACCATGGTGGTTTTTATTAGCTGCCTTCTCTGAGGGGGTGGAGAGTAACCTGTTGTAGCCCTGGCCCCTGCCTCCGGGATAGAGGTTGCTGAGGGGACAGAAAAGGAAGAGGACTGCAGAAATCAGCTCCCTTTTTCCCTCCTTTCTGGAGAGTGCGGAACTGCTATCACCGGGACTGCTTATGGTTCTCCCTGGGGAGCTATGCAAGATCATCCACCGAATTAATGGTGTCTCCATGCCACTCCACACTGTCCTGAGAAAGGTATATTTTTATTTAGAGCCTAGCCTAGCATTTTGGTTAACACTCTGTCCCCGTTTCCCCTCCCCCCCAGGGCAAAAAGCTGCTAGACTCCTGAAAAGTGTCTCTGCCTTGCTGTGGGATGTAGACAGAGGATTCCTTTTTGAATTATGTGCTTTGTGTGAACACACGAAAAAGAAACCCTGGAAACCAAGCTACTTTTGATCAGGAAAGGGTTAAAGGTTCCAATGTAAGGGCACCTTCCCTCCAGTCGAAGTTCAGACTAACATGAATGCAATGCCCAGTCTGACATACTGACACTCATTGAGCAAAGCCACCTTTGAGAAGTTGCTCTGTCTAATTGGCTTCAAATCCAAGGGCATTTAGATGTAGTCAGCCAAATCCTGCCCTCATTATGCCTGTGAGACCCGACTGAAATCGGCGGGTAGCTGCAGCCAGTGGTACTGTATATGTGCAGTTGAGGGCAGCTGTTGTTCCAATGGTATGAAGAACATGGATATGAACACAGGAATTGCAGCTGGTTACGTGGAAATATCACTCAGATTCTAAGTCCTGGGGAAAAGGGACCCTACTACTGTAGATGCTGCTGGGGGACAAATATTATTTGTATTAAGGTAGCACCTAAGGGCTCCAATCACAGATCAGATAGGCGATGTACAAACAGAAATCAACAAGAGGGTTCTTTCCCCAAAGAGCCTACAGTCAGACTCATCTCTTACCTTAAGAGCATGGGAAGTCTCACAGCTGGACCTGAGCAGCTGCCAGCAAAAGAACCTTCCCAGTGCTGCCAGCCGCGAAAGGCACTTGCTCCAGTGCTTGCTTACGAGGTGTCAGAGTGAAGTGCAGGGAGCTGTCTGGAATGGCACCTGGAGACAACAGGGAATAATGGGGCTGTGCACGGAGGAAGATGGCTGCAGGGAATCATTGCTGTCAAGGGGCAGGAGTCCCAAAGCCAGGAGAGTGAGAGAGACAAGCTGTCAGAGAAGGGAGAGGGTGTCAGGGCATTTGAAGAGGTGAGAGACAGAGATAGCTCTAAAAGGAGGGGGTGTTGTCTAGTGGTTGGAGCAGGGGACAGGGAAACAGGATGGCCAGGGTCCATTCTGTCTCAACACAAACAAGTCCCTTCACTTTCCCGTGCCAATTTCCCTCCCAGTAAGAAAGGGGCTAACGCTACTTCAGTTACTCTCCCAGAAGTGTGGGGGAGTTCACAACTGTAGGATCATTGGCTGCACAATTAGAGGACGAGCAATGTCCACTCCAAACCATAGCTTATTTATAATAAGGAAAAAAGCCCACACAAACGTAGAATGGCTCGACAACCACTAAAGTACCAAAGCAGCTTAAACAACAGCCCCCTCCCCGCCCCCCGCTTCCCAGTACAGTTACACCCAAAGAGGAAAAGGCTGAGGCAGAATTAGGCCTCTGAGCATGCTCTGTCCATACTGTCAGGCCAGGAGGGAGCAAGTTCAAGAGTTGGGGGTCTGCTGCTGCAAATGCCCTGCAAACCCTGCCTCACCCATGTCACCTGATGGACTGCCAGCTAAAGCATTGCAACCCATTGCACCTGCAGCAATGTCCCAAGGTGAAGGCCACAGGAAAGTCCCAAAGCACATAGGGCCTGTCATTGCTTGTAGATTTGTGCCAGGTACCAAAGATGTCTGGCTTCAGGAGACATCCAACTAATGTTCTGGGAAACAATGTCTGGGAAGCAACAGCAGCCCCCCCAAACCTACCTGCGTTGCCTTCATGAGGGTAGTCTGGGACCATGTACTCACGGCCATCTTGTCCAGCTTCAGAGCATCCACTTCCCATCAAGAGTGACACGTCGTCATCCTCACTCCTGCGTTTTCTCAGGAGGCAGCCGTCCCGTACTCCCAACATGCATCAGCCACTGGCCCCAGGGGAAAACGCCCACGCAAATGCTCTTGGGTGTATGAGTCTTGCTGGGACTGTACATTGTCTCTCTCTAATTTGGGCTAGAAAGGAAAAGGCATCCCAACTTCTCTTCTTCCTCCTTCCTGTCTGTATGGGCTCTCTGACACTAGGAATAATGAGAGAGAGAGAGAGAGAGAGAGAGAGACGTGATTAATGCTCCATGGCCAGTTCAGCCATGTGACACTTCCTGCCCCGTCATGCTTTTACACGTCTTTCCCGGTGCTTTGCTAATAGCAACAATATTCTTCATTCACCAATTGCCTCACATTATCAAGTGCCAACTGCTAATGTGCTGATCTGTAAGGAGAGGAGGTGGGTAACGTAACGGCTTATTAACATGCAAGGTGATAACACAGAAGTGGAGGCGGAATTATTTAAAATGGCTACAGTGGGGGTGGTTAGGTGAACAAGAACTAATGGCTGGAAACTAGGGAAAAAAAGAAGAAAAACCCAGAGAACTCTTGCACTCAGATGTTGACTCTCAAGTCATCATGTCAGTTACACAGTAGAATGATCTCCCATGGCAGGTTGCTTAGGTACTATAGAGAAACCTTACACAGATCCTGGAGCCAGCAGCTCTAACTGGATTCAGATACAGTTTAAGTAAAGCATTTAGAACCTGATCCAATTCCTGTTGAAGTCAATGGAAAGGCTCCCACTGGCTTCAGGGGGAGTTGGATCAGGCCATTTGTGTAGGCGGTTAGAGGCTTGTGCTGCGGTAGACAGACTGGATGATCCAGGTGGTGTGGTCTTGTTCTCCCTGTTACGAATTACCCTAGGATCATTTTTGACTGCGAAAAATCCCATGTTACAGAGACAGGATTCTTGGTCCCGTGGACAGGATGCTGGCTTAGGAGACCTGGGTTCTCTTCCCAGTTCTGCCACTGGGTTGCTGAGATACCCTGCACAAGTCATTTCCCTGCTCCGAGCCTCAGTTTCCCCATCTGTAAAATGGGGATAATGATGCTGACCTCCCTGATAAAGTGCTTTGAGATGTGTGGACAAGAACTATAAAAAAGCTAAGCATTATTCTTCCTCATTCTGAGCCTCTCTCGCGGTCATCTGGGTATTCTCTCCCACTCTGCTCTTCTTTAAGGCTGTAAAGTGCATTAGGGCTTGTGTGAAAGATGCTCCAGCAGGGTAGGCTGTGTTGTTTTGCAGTGAAAGAGCAAACCTCCTTCCTGCTTTTCCTTTTCTGGCATCTTCTTGTTTCACGTTGCGGGCTCACACCCAGACGCCATCTCGCTCCCAGCTTTCAGCATGCGCTGCTGCTAGGCACAGCCCATTCCATTAACATCTTTAGCCTTGCAGCAAGAATTGGCTGCCACCCAGACCTCAGAAGACATAATTTAGATAAGGAATCCAAAGGGAAATCACCCACTGACCTATACGAGATGATTACACAACGAGAAGCGCTAATAGGATTTTAGTGCATCCAGTCCACACTAGCGATGCTCTGAATCCGAGTCGCAGAATATTGTTAGTGCATGGGTGTGCCCCCGACCTGTGGCCGGCAACGTTCCCTCTAATTTTTGACAGGCCGTGTGTGCAAAAAAATTCTTCTGCGCAAGTTTCTGTGCGCGCGGTGGTTCGCCGTGTGCACCGGGTTTAGGATCGGTGTGCGCGCGCCGTGAATGTCACTCACACATCGGACTCAGCAGCCACCAGAGAACTCACTGGCCCATGCACCGTTGTACACAGCCCAGCCTCTGTGGAGAGCCGTGCGTTTCTGCCGTGCAACTGGAGGGGTGGGGGGATAGATTCAGCTTGGCTCGGAAGGTGGTTTGAGGAAGGGAGGCAGTGGGCGTGGGGTGGTATTTAAAGTCTTATGCTGGGGAAGTGCCGTGAAAATGGTCACCATCTCTGCACTATCAAGATGCTAGAGGAGACGGCTCCCGTCCAGGAACAGCTTTATTTCTGTCAGTGCAGTGAAGGAGTCGAGCATGTGTTGTGTGGAAATGCACCTCAGACCCCTCCTTCCCCACCCAAAGGGATCCAGGGAGGGAACATTCTCGGGAAAGGGTCCCAAGCCAAAACCCATCCAAAATCCCGGATCCCCGTTTTGCAGCATGAGCCCAGCACTTTGTGAGGGCTGCTTCAGAGGAGCCTTGGCTCCCCTCACCACCTCAAGTCAGACTGGCCTCTTCCCAGCCCTGGATGTGCAGTGAATCCTGATACTCCACATCCCTCCCTACATTCCCTATATGCCCCAAGCAGCTCTGCCATGCCACCTGCAGGGGTTCGGTGTCAGAACATTGCCGGGGGGGGGGGGCTTACGAACAGGGAGATGGTTAGTGTGCTCATACACAGATATAGGGTAACAATGGGTGGAGAATGCCTGTTCCATACGAATGGGAAGGGAAGCTGTGACTTGCCCAGTTAGACCTGTATTAGAGGGAGAGACGACAAGCCCTGCAGGCTGGGCGACTGAATTATTCCTACAAATAAACCTTCCAGGGGACTCATCTGAGCAATCCAAATCCACCGCCCTAAACAAGCCAAGGAAAAGGGGATGGAAAAGATGAATGACAAAATCCCACAGGAAAAGGAGATAATGACACCACCATGAA